TATCAACCAAAATCTCAATGAGTTCGTCTCGAAAAAATTTGTCGAGAAAAACAGTTGTTAGTGTAGAATAAGCCTTGAATCAAAACTAAGAATCGCTAACTGAGGAGACAGCAACTTGGGCACTATGTTTTTGGAAAGAAGTATGTTCTTCTCGAAATCCACAAATGAACAAAAATCTGTTTTTACTCTTCAAACGACGTAAGAAAAGACGACTTAAACGATATAAAAAACGCCAAAACCATTTAAGTGAAAAAAAAATTCAACGCAAAAGTTATACAACACCGTAGAAATCAGTTACCTGCACCATTATAAAGTCTAAATATGGTTTTCCCCAATAGTATAACCCCAATTTCAGCCATTCTGTAGACAATTTAAAGTCAATATCAGTAACAAAAAAATTAGCCGTTTGCTAGGCATGTATCCCAGAAGCTTCCAAACAGAGTTTTTTTAGATGCAAACTTTGCAAACACAGGTAGAAAAACGGTAAAAAACTATAAAACAAAAAACGAAAACATCACAGTAAAAAATAAAATAAAATTGGAAAACTAAACTTGAGCCATGCGCCTGAAACGAACAGCGGACCTAGCGATTGGAAATGTATCGTCCTCGATTTTGCTTCTTGTTCCATAGAAACACTGCAAACATTAGACACTTTTTATATGAACATTTTTAGTTTTGCGCGTTGGGCTAGGAAAAAATGTAATATAACACTAAATTTGCTAGCTTGCGGCCCATGATGATCCGTGCTATTTTCTGGTAATACTTATGCAACATTCTTAGGTGGGAAACATAGCTCGAAAATTGTCTGAAGGTTTCAAGCAGAAAACAATACAGCTGTTTCTTGCAAAGAGCTATTTAGCTCTTTTTCGTGGTATTCATCATACATAGAGAGATCTTACTGTTTTTTGGGGATAGGGAATAAGCTATTGATCGTAGGTTTGCGAAAATACTTCATTAGTTTAATAATAATAATTGTAGTTCCTGCGAATCGCAGAGGAGCTATCAGTAGGCCTTAACAGTCCTGTCGAGGATAGTCCATTTGTATTATCTCCCCACATTCCAGCCAAGCTGTTTTTTTTGCGCCTTGAATTTTTTTACGTGGTACCACTATTGCAGCAAAATTTGGTCAGGTTGAGGTAGACCTGAAGCTGGAGGTCAAGTGAGAGCTTGATCTCACACACTATCATTGCCATGGCATGGGATCGATTACACGATCTGACGATATCAAAGTGAACGCCTTACCACTGTGCTAAGTGCCTCTCATTAGGTTGAATCATTTCGAGGTATTTCTTGATATCTTGATGGCGATCAGTCACATATAGAAAGAAATCAGGTATGAAGAGAATCCAAAAAACGTTGAGAAGCAAAAAGCTAAGTTTTTTTATTATAATACAACACTTCACGCGGTACATTTTTTGTGTTAGCTGAGACTGACTGAAAATAAAACCCACCCCAATTGATTTTTGGGTTGCAAAATACGCCTTAATTGCTAAATGCTGAGGGTCTGTTAACAAAGCTACGGGGAGTGCAAAAATTAATAAGAAAGGTTTCACACTTGATAAGAAAGGAGTTCCCGCACTGAAGTTTTATGGTTGACAGTCGATGATAATTGCATTTTTATTGTCTGTCTCTCTGAAATTGGAAAACTATCGATCGCAACTGATTAAAAATGGATTAAAATATTACTATTTTTCAGAGAAGTAAACCCCATTCCCAATCAATTTAGACAAAAACTATCTAACGCAATATAATCTTTTTATCCGACAATGGTATATAATCAGTTTTTTATTTGTATCTCTTTTCATGTGTTATTTTCATTCATTTTTAGTTAGTTCTTTGGTTGTCTTTCTTTATTTTCAAAGTTTCTCTAATCTCAATCGCGTTTTTTTTTTTAAAATACCTTTTTTGTATAGCTTTTACATGTACTTCTTTCCATTTCTTATGCTCCCAGCCCCCAATCCCACGTTCTAGCTTCCGTCCACAAATAATTTTTACCCCACTCACGTCATTAATCTTCCTCCTCTTTCAGTTGAACGCGTTGGGGAGGGGGGGGGGTTGAATGCAAGCAGGGGGCTGGTAAAAGGGGGTACGAGGATCGGTAAGCGGGGGATGTGGTGCGGGAGAAATAGAGGAATCTGGTTGGGAGCGTGATGGAGATAGTGATGGGGTCTCGATGGTGGGGACGTGATGGTAGAGGGGTGGTGAACCTGGGGATGAACTGCAAAAGTAGAGAAAACACTTTATATCTAAAAAATCAATTTCATTGGATTTTATCAGCAAACAAAATCGATCAGCTAGGAAAAAAAAATTTTGCACAGAAGCGAAGCTGAGCTTCGCACCACTTGCGATACAAGAGGATTAAAACAGTATGATCTTCAAGAAATAACAAAGGTAACTTCTAACGATGAAATTGAAAAAGGAACAACGGTGTCTGTACAAAAAGTCCAATACAAAACAGTCCAACACAGAACAGTCCGGAAAAAATTCAAATTGAACAAAAAAACAGTCCGATACAAAACAGACGGAAAAACAGTCCGAAGTAATAATTGTTTCAACAAACCGGTAGGCCAAAAAGTGTTCAACAAACATGAACGACAAAACAGTGACTGTCGTAGTCGCGCCCACGTGTTGCGAGCTTGCCAACAGAGGGTAAGGACTCTATACGAAGATTATAGCCGGTTATCACCACAAAGCGGCGACGCGCTCGTAGCACGCCAACCGGAGATTTTAAACTGGGCTGTTATTTTGTTCATTACATAGTGTTTGGACTATTTTGTATTAGACTGTTCTGAGAGGACCGTTTTGTAAACGCACCGGAACAACAAAAACAAAAAAAAAAGAAAAAAAAAGCTTTTTTTAATGATTTTATAATTACGTTTTTTACAGAAAACCATATGGAGTTAGTTTGGAGAGTTCGAAAAGGGTGCCTGACTTTTTCGTGCTCATTGAACGAAAAAGCAAATGTTTTTGGTGTAAATTCAAAAAAATCAAAAAGAAAAGTCCGCAAAAATTTTTGTGACTCAAGTACTGCACTGCCACTAGTGGTCTTCAGAAAGATGGAAAAAAGTTGAATTTAGACAAAAGAAAGAGAAAAAAACAGATGAGAGAAAAAGAGAGTTTGTGATGCGGGATCTAAGCCGATAAAAATGAACAGTCGAACGATAGTCCCCAAGAACAGAAATCTTCTAGTTTAAAAAAGAGGTCTCGGTCCGGATTAAAACCCTAAGCCTTTGTCGTCTCACCACATTCTACTCCAAATGCGCTGGACGCTAGAACAAATTTCAATTTTAAGTAAAGCAAGTCGAAACACGTCTAACAATTGAATAGAAAAAATATATAAAGGTTTATTACATCCGGCAAGTAAGCCGAGAGGAGTTAGACAAAATCCATGAAGCCGACAAAAAAAAACTAGTTAATTCAGTAAAAATTGAGCATGCCAGAAGCATATCAAGTGCTGTCAAGTGATTCAGCAGCATATCAACGACAAGAGATTCAACTTTGTTAACCCAGAAAATGTCTCTATTTAGGTTTGATAACGCTTGCTAATCGCAAATGTATCATTATCAATTCTGATGGATTATGATTTTTACATAACCGATTAAAAATCGATTAAAAACTGAAAAAGATTAAAAATCGATGTAAATTTGCCACAATATTCGATTATTCAGAAATATTTTAGTCAACGAAATTTTAAATTTATCGACTTTAACCAAAAACATTCAGAAAACTTCAATCCAGTGATAAGCTTCAAACTCGATTTTTAGGACCCTTTTTTACTGCCGCCAACATCAAGTTCTAGGGGATAAAAATTGGGTCTTGTATGTAAATGACTGGACCAATTAAATCGCCTCAATTTTGAATGATTTGAGTGCAATTGATTTATTGCGTGTAAACAGTATAATGCATTTTATATAATTTAAAAAAAGCAATTATTAAACCCCGACAACATTATCAAAAAAGATCACAAGTAAAATAGCTTATACGATTGCAGTCAACAATTTTATTGACGTATTTTAATTTTCCATTGATCGCCATCATTTCAATGGCTTAAAATAGTTTGAATCAAAAACCACCTCGAGCATGGATATGAACAGGGGCGGACGCACCCCCCCCCCCCCTCAGGGATTCGACCCCCTGCCGACCCAAAAGGTCCCCCTTTGATACTTCTAAGAAATGCAGTTTTAGCCGACTAACCTTTAAATTTTTCTAAAGGCGCCTTTGGCGCCAATATATACTAATTTACTAATTTTGAGGGGGGAGCGCGCGAAAATAAAACCGTTTCTTTGTGAAACTGAAAAAAAAAGTGAGAGAGAGTTTTTGTCGCACACTGTCGAGAAGAATCGGAACAAAAAATCATAAAAAGATAAAGCAGGAAAGTTTGAAGGTTTAATTTTTTTGTGCTTATGGCAATAGTAAGAAGTAATTTTGCGATTTTCGCACCTTTACTGGTTTTTACTTGTTTTTCCAATTTTATAAACAAGAGGGGTTTTTATACAAGCTTTCTCTTGCCAAAAACCTGGTTAAAAAAAATTTAATCTGAAATTTAACAATTTATAAAATTGCAGTTCTCTATTTTAATTGAGAAAAAGTGCCGTTTTCTCTGTCACAAAATTTCTATGAGGCTATGTACAACCCCGCCAATGAGACCGATTTGAAACAAACATATATTTATTCTAACTCTGAGCAAAAAAAATCTTTTCAGACATCAACAAATCAACAAAAGATGTAATTTCACCTCAATGCAGCGACTCGAAAGATACAGTTATCAAGTTTCATTTTTGGTACAATGTCAAATTATTTTATTTCAAGCATCTGAAATTTGAAAATGTCCTTTTTATTTTCTTAAACACCTTTTGTTAATTTTCGTTTTCTTCGCCTGTTTGATCCAAGGTAATATACGTGACTGCTGAATCTATCACTCGCTTGGATTTGACTTGTGACGTAAAATTTCGGGGTTCTCGATCGACCGCGATTAAAAATTAGCGCGGTTCTTAAGTGCTCTTTGGTTATCTGATTTCTCGCTGAATTTTTTCACGTCGATGGCTGTGCGGATATTTTATAATTGCCCCGAAATATTGATTAAATTCTATTCACGTGTCAGTCGCACCACAAACTATGAACAATTTAAACCCTCCCAGCCCTCATTGAATCGTTGAGTTTTCATGGATATTCTAACTATTGTCCCAACATCGAAACCGACATTAAATTTCCCCATCAATTTCGCAAATAAAACTAGGTCCGATTTTGAGGCTGCACAAATTGACTCTAATTTAGTTGCACTTCTCAAAGCCCATTGACTTTACGGTACCATTTGTAGGGACAACCCATTTCTAGCAGTTTAATCATTGTTCCTTCTTCTCTTTTCCTAAGAATTTCGATTATTTCTGTTGTACACAAACGCCCGTGTCGATTTACAATCTATTTTTTACTGTAGTTAATAAGCGCAAGCAACATAAAAAACTAGTCGTAAAAAGGCAAAACAAAATTATCTGAAGAAAGATCAAACATGCTCCAAAAATTCCTTTCATCATGCGAACGTTTTAATTATTTTCGCCGGAATTCACTAAAACGCTTCTTAAATCATCCATCTGAAAATTACCCCGGTGGGTTGTTGTAAGTAAACACGTTTCACGTTTTTGTTTATTTTTACCATACTTCTCGCGCCCAATTTTTGAATTTTCTTCAAAGACTGTTTTCAATCAAAATTCGCACTTTATTGAAAAAAATCGTTGAATAGTTGACACAGGGAATCAAAAATTTAACAATTTCATTTAGTCTGGAGTATCAAAAAACGGGCTTCTTTCAAGCAAAACAAGAATAAGAAAAACATTAAATGCCTGTCAATTATGCTTCCATTTAATACTTTGCAATCGTTTCCATTCCATATGTTTTCTGCCAGTTAATTCTTCATATTGTCTGGTTCTTTGCAAGTGTGTATAAATCCATCCTCTGGAGTGCCAATAAATGCAGTCCAGATTACGAATTAGGATAGCATTCATTCGGTGTCAACCAACCATGATACAACCACATCCTTCTTTTTCTACCTGGCAATCAGTTGAAGATTATATTTCACTACTTTGTCTCTCTATTTTGATTCAAGGTTCAACAGTGTATTAGGCCCAGCGGATTCATAAACAACCCAAAAAGCTAAGTTGTCGATATCAACCAGTCAAAATTAAATTACTAGCATTGACATTCAAATCACATTTCTTTCCACTGTCTCCCATTTTAAATCAGGTTAAATAAAAACATAAAAGTGGCCAAATATCAACTTTAAATGGTGATATCCGAGCTGTTTTTGGAAGAATTGATCATAAGTTTTGAGGTTGTCGTCTAAAAATGGGTGTCATAAATAGTGTCGAAATGTCGAACTCCTGCAGGGAGTGACGTCCCACCTGAATCCACCCCTGCCCCCCCCCCCCCTCCTGTATTAATTCAGGTAAGCTCTAAATGGTTAACAAAAAAACTGCAAATAAAATAACTCAAAGTAGTCAATATCTTAAATAAACAACAGAAACAGTTTTAAATAACACTTTTGGTTTTTTAAATATATTTGATTTTTTTGAAAGCTAGGTATTTTCAAACTAAGAGTATATTTAAAAAAATGCGATCTCTGTTTTCCATTGTTTTAGCTCTAGGTCAAATCGAACAAATAATAAAGCTAATAGACCAGAATCAGTTCCGCATTTAATGAACTGTAAAGCAAAAATAGCTCAGAAATTAAAATATCATTTTTTAAAAACATGTATAATAAATAACCAAATATGTACGAGTGTTGTTCTGATTCAGATTTGACTATGGGGATACTGGTGTTACTTCTTGTAACCTGGTTTCCGAATATGGTCCCGAATAAGTGACCCTGTTGCGTTTGCCTGTTGTGTTTGTCCTCGGGATGTTTACAGCGCAGACATCTTTATCTGCACACCTGTGGAGTTAAAAGCCAATAAACCAGGGATAATTTATGGATATAAGGGCGGAGGGCAGCATAGGGTGCTAAGTTGTAGAAAATAGAGGGGGTTGCTGTTTTTTTTCTAGTTGTTTACGTCAAGGTGTGAATTGCTCATATTTTAGCCCCGATTAGAACAGTGAAAATGCGATTGTATTCACACTCCATTTATTTTTGTGCTAAAATGAATGTAAATACTGGTAATTTAACTAAGACGCTTTCTGGTTCCAGCTTGCTTGTTTTTCCCTTAATCGAGGCTGCTTTTAATGTTTTTCTTTAAATTAACATAACATTTCAGGCACAGTCAATCCCTGCACGAGCGGGTTAATTGAATTCTAAAACGTATCGGCAAACGCAGCAGCCTACGCCCTTAGTTCAATTCTTCTCTTACCAAATCTGGGGTAAAATTTGAGCCCACTTTGTTTATGAAGATAGCGGATACCAGACGAATTTATGACCAGTGACGGCATGTTTAGTTATAACCAGTCAGGAGTTATGATTAGATTTATAAGTAATTATTCCACAGGCCGATTCAATTTCCATTATAATACATAAGAGAGCAATATACTTTAAGTGGTACTCTTGCAGTATTTGTAAGATATCTGCAAAGTCGAATCTTCAAATATTTTGTGTTTCCTTACCTATTCTCAGAACAAGGGCTGAAAAGATTGCGTGATTTGACGCGCCTTATCCCCTCCCGGAATTAAATGGCTCCCAAATCAATTTTGGCCTAATTGGATTTCATAAGTTAGACTCGGAGCCTTGTCACAAAAATAAATTTCACAAATTAATGCTTCACTGCTTTTAAATATCGCCCTCATTACATATTCCATTATAAACATCCTTTCTTAGTTCTGCTTTCTGGTTCAGACAGTATTTCAAAAATCACCCTGTTTTAGCGCAAATTTCTTCAAAGCAGATTTTACTTTACTCAGCCAAAAATATCACCCACGGCTAAATCTATCAGAGCTTTAGGGCGAAGTATCGCTAGAGTGTAACTTGTTTTAAATCCAATTGTAGAAACCAAAAACCTACTTCAATTTATTTGAACAGTTTTGCGGTTGTTTTAAAGAGTCCAGCGACAACAATGAGGAAACACAGTGCCTAACGTACCCGAGAAATAATGTCAAAACACAAGACGCAATATTGAAACCAAATCTTAACAGCAGGACTTTCTCTGTTGTCTAATCCCAATTTTATTGCCCGCAAAGTTTACCTTCAAAACTTGCCGTGATACAGACAACTTTGTCCACGCGGTAACATTCAAACTTAACCGGGTTTGAGCAGGTAAATTTGCCTGGCGAAAGGGTTCCACTGATTATCAATGATTTCAATCGAAGCGCCAAGTTTTACCCAGTTAAGAAATTTACAAGTACCGAAATCCATGTGACTTATCACGAAATTCACAGATTAAACTCACGAAATGGTCTCCATTTATCGAATCTTAACCCTATTTTTTGCATCTGAGATTTCAATCCAGGCATCTGAGGTTTGCTACCCTAGATGCAGATGTCGCTCAGAATCCAATATTGCATGCATAGAAAGATCAGGTTCGCCATTCACCCAAATTCCAGATTTCCTGACCAAATTTGATTACAGAATCCGACAAATTACAATCAAAAACCAAAACATCCAAGAACTTTCACCGACCACCAGAAACGCTCTTAACTTCGTTCCTTACATCGAGCAGCTTTCAATCACTAGAAGTAATGTTACTTATGTGGAACCGCATGTTTTCAACGCCGGGTTCCGCCGATTTCAGGCCCTGGATCTATCCAGGAATTCTATCAAGAAAATTCCAAGCGCCGCTTTTTACGGATTACAAAACGCTACTGTTATATCATTAGCTAAAAATGCGATTACTTCTGTCGACGAAAACTTCTTCGGGACTTATTCCTTACGACCATGGTCGGGTAACATGATGATTAAGTTAAATGAGAACCGACTAGAGACGTTTCCAGGAGCCTTCGTAGAGCGAATTGAAAGATTCATTCGTATGAACATGCCGACAACGACAAAAATTACAATCGATTTATCCGAGAACCCTTTACGTTGCGACTGTTCAATAAACTGGTTCGTATCTTCTGAGTTCGAACACGTAGAAGTGATCGGAACATGTAGCGACAATACAGGTTTCCCCGAAGTCCAAGGAACGTCGCTTCAGAGAATCAAACAAGACGCCGAACTTTTCAAAGGCTGTAAAACTGGCACGTTTTTCAACTTCAATTTGCTATCAATGCAAACTCTTTTAATAGCCATAGGTGCTTTCACAGTTTTTGTTATTCTCATTATATGTTTGTACAATAGGATATCGGAATGCGTGTACGAGCGGAAGATGCAAAGATACGCCGAATCGTCACAGAGAATTCCGATGTCTCGGTCGAAAAACAACATCACCTACAATGACATTTCTCTAATTTAGAGAACATAATATGACAAATATCCATATCTCAAAACAAGTTAAATTTACACTTTCAAGTGTTAGCTAAGTTGCATTAATTTTTGAATAGTTTTAGACAATACAAATACAGTGCAATCATAATTAAACTGCTGTTTATTTTTTTTTTAAATGCTTACAAATAAAAAAAATTAACTTGAAGTCTGTTTATTCTTATCAATTTAGATGAGTTTTGGCAAGAATTCAGCATTACAAACACCAGCAGATTCAGGGGGACGCCTCCTCTCAGGGATTCCCCTTAGTACTATTTTGAGATATCCATTTTTGACTGACTGACCCTAAAGTTTTTCTTAAGGCGCCGTTGGCCGCCAAAATATACTAATTTTGAGGTAGGTGGGTTGGGGGGGGGGGGGGGGGGGGGTTGGCGAAAAAACGCAATTTTTGGTCCAAAACGTTCCAAAAACTTTCCAAAAACTTCCCAACAACTTTGCCTAAAAACGCCTTTTTGACCTGTTTTTTAGAAAATTTGCTAAAATAAGAAATTAGAAAATTTTGTTAAAATAGGGTCTTTACAGGTCTTTGGGAGGGCTCAGAAAATCAATTCGGCCGACCTAAAAAATGCCGACAAAATTTTCGAAATTTTGTTGAAAATCATCTCCTACCTCGAGAAAATCCTAAATCCGCCCCTGATTACAAACGTAAAACGCGAAGTCAGAAGCCGTTTCTTGAGGCAAAATTAATTGATTTTTAAAGTAAAGAATCCTTATTCAATTCAGTTCGATGACGCACTTATTGATGCAGTAAAACAAAAAAGCCAAAAAAGCGAAAACACCATCTTACCGTGCATGATGCAATTAAACTTAGGACAAAATACTTAATTGGTTTTTAATGATAAATTTCAACTACTTGCGATACCACATAAAGGAAAGGAGAAAAAATTTGGAAAAACCTCAAGTGAAAACATTTTTTTTCTGGAATGATGTTCTATTTGCGGAAAACACGTCCAGAATCATAATCGACGTCGTTTGATGAAAATTGAAAAAAAATTAACGAGTGAAACTGAGCCGACAATACTTCCCGGGTAAATTCCCGCAGTACCGAAAACAAAAATGTTGTAAGGAAAAACTTTGAACAAAAAATTATATTCTAAGATTCATAGCTATTTTTTTACTCGATTTGGAGCGAAGCAAAATGAAATTTTTTGTCTATTAAACAAAAATTTTAATAAAAACTACAATTTTTTGAAGATTAAATTCTTCTTATATTTTGTTGGTCTACATAAGAGGCTCATTTATATATAAGTTTGGCAGTAATTGACTCAGTAGTTTTGGCGTAATTTTTGACTGATCAAAAAAGTCAAAATTGGTTCGTATTTGGGGTAAGAATTTGAGCTTGAAACTAGCAAAATAAGTTGCACCCAGGGGCGGATTTATGGGGTAGGTAGGCGCGGGGAGATGGGTTCGGGGTGTGAACCCGTCCCCCACAAGAACTGCCCCTAAATGCACCGTAAAAATTCTGCGACAATTCGAAGCAAATTTAGCGCTCATCATTTTCACCTGAAATCCTTCCGTTTTGAATAAAAACTCGTTTTAAATTTCAAATTTTATGCATTTTGTCCGGATAATATAAGTTAGCACTATACAATCGTATGTTTATTTTCAAATTAAAAATATTCATTCAAACTTTTTTGCGGTCGTTTCGAAACAGACGACTCAAACATATCAGTAATAATTGCTGAAAGGTATAAAGGACACAAAAAAGACAAATTTAAAATTATTACAAGCCATTGAATTATTATTTATTTTGAGAGCAAAATGGAATATAAAAATTTGCCGCTATAAAACGAACTAATTAACGCATAATAAGAACACGTCCCCAAAGAAAACTCAAAAACCCTTGTTTTTAAAAAAGAAAACAAAAGTAAACACAGAGGCGGAGCAGAGCTTTGTACCGCTTGCGATGAAAAAAAAACGTATTTCTAGAAATAAAGTTTTAAAAAAGCAGATCGGAAAAAAGCTGAAATTTTTTTTTGAAAATTAGGTTATCAGCAAAATCAGTTTTACAGTCGTTTTAAACTGACCAGCTATGCAGAATACACGCAATGAAACTATTAGTAAATAGCACACTGATGAAATTTTCTTAAGATAAATTAAATTACAATCACCGAACAGTTTTAAATCATTTTGCAACAATTAGAACCAGTAAGATTAAACGAACGACTCACCTCAACCTTAAACAACTCAAAAGGTTTCTAGAACGAACAAACTATTGATAATGATAAACTTACAATTACAAGTAGTTTAAATCTAATAATTATTCACCTTGCTCAAAAAAACTAGTAGTTACAAGTAATTAAAGAATTAGAAGTAGTTCAAAATCTAATTATCATTCAACTTGCTCAAAAAACTCGAATCAAACAAAGATATAGAAGCAAGAAAGAGACTTTTCAGAACAAACAAATAAGTTTGAAGCTTTGAAGCCGAAAACACATGCCTAAGAGGAAACTCCGGTCAGACAAAAACAAGTTTAATGAAATAGAAAATTGAACAAACCTCAACAAAAAAAAACAGTTTAACTAATATTGCTAAAAATAGACCACGAAGAAGTATCATTGAACCAATTTAAAAATTAATGAGTGCGGAAACGTATCGATATTATCTGGAAGTGATACATATATTTCGATTAGTTTGTTCGGTTTGTTTTATGGCACAATTAACTTGTATTGCGCTGTTTTGAAGGCAAAAATTATTTTTTGGCAAAATCAGGTATTATTACACTTGCGTTAGCAAGTGTCTTGAAATCGGTAACCAGGCTTTTTCCAGTAAACAAATTTTCTTCCACGTTTGTTTTCAACTTACTTTCTAAGGAAACTTCAGTACCTCCAGGTTCCTTCCCACGTTGCTTAAAATTAACGCTATCGCCTTTATACCCTAAGGTTTTAGGGTTCGACCCTCGGCCGGACTTTGTTTTGTTCAGTATGTATTCAGTTGAAAAAAAGTTCGGTAAATTTGAATTTTAGGACTTCCGTTATTCTGCCAATCTTTTGTCGGTTTATTTGCATCATCACACATCTAGTTTTTCCTGCAAGCTGCTGTCATTGCAAGTACAAGTGTTGTTCTTTGTAAGTTCAGGGAGGTGGATTTTAAACATATTAAATTTTTTTTCAAACATTTTTTTTCGGCGCAACAGGTGTTTGCTCAAGATTGTTGGATTAATTGTCTTATCACTGATTTTTTACGTGCTCTATAAGCAACTTCCCTTGTAGTTGAAAGTGCAAGTGTTGTTCAATCTAGTCTCTGGTGGGACTCAAAACTGTAAACATTTTTTATGAAATCATATTTTTTGCTCATATTGTGTCTGTTCAAAGATTGTCCACTTTGTTTGCGCTTCTTAAGTTTTATTCAGTTGCTAATTTAATACTCAAGTTTCTGCCATGTTTTAGCTTAGAATGAAATTCTATCGAGACATCCGAAAATTTAGTTTTTCATAGAACTAGTTTTTTCGACGTTTTCCATTTTGTCGACGTTTCTGTTTAATTAACAGGTGCTGTCTGATGCTTTTTCTGATTCACTTTTTATGTTTCTTTAATGAAAGTAGTTTCCTTGTGTTTAAAAAGAAAATATTAAAAATCAGACTTGGTGAAATGACAAGCTACAACTTTCAACATCACTTTCAAAATCAAAATAAAATCCATGCTTAACAAAAAACCCGAAACAATTAGAACTCATTTTAAAAAGACAGGAAATGAACCGACAGAAGCAAGCTAGCTTGAAAACTACGAATCAGAAAAAAATCCTTCAAACAATTTTTCAAAAAAAAAATAATTTGAAAAAAGAAAAAACAACGGAAATTGACTACACGTAATTACTACCTTACGGAAGGTAATTTTATTTGAATTTTCAAGAAATTGAGCATGTCTGAAAAAAAACCTTTCCTACACATCTGAAAACTCTCTTCCGGAAGTTATTTACTGGAAAAAGTTCTAGTACACGGTTGCAATACCCTTGCTTATAGCAAGGGCAACAATCAAATGTCGAAAAACTCAAAAAAAAAATATAAAAAAGGCAAAAACTATTGAACTATTTATTTGCACCAAAAATGCAATAAATAAAACCGATCGAACAATCAAAAAACAAAAAAAAATGAACCAATTCTGCTAATTGATCTGAGAAAATAAAATGAAATAATTTTCAAAAATTTTTTCAAAAAACGTTCGAAATTTTTTTCATTTTTATTTTTTCAGGAATCTAGAAAATTAATTAACGTTTTTCAAAAACTTCATATTCGAAACCAATCTTCCACTGAATACCAAAAAAACTAATTCGAAAGAAAAACATTCGGAACATAAGCCGACGAAATTATAGCCGACTTCTTTCAGCGCCGAAATTCTACTGAAAATTTTCGGCACAGAAGAAAAACTTTTGAAAAAACTCTTCACAGGAACCAAATTCCATGCCTAATATGCAACTACGGCACACTACACTAACCATGGTGCTATTGAAAGAATTACCATTTCATTGCGTCTATTCTGTGGACAAAGTTGTTCACGGGAAAAAGTATAGTACTCGATTCCAATACCCTTGCTTATTGCCAGGGTAACAAATTAATTTGCTTAGAGAATGTCGTTTTTGCAAAAACGACTCCAATATTTGCTGATTCGATATGTACAAAATTTGAAGCTCTGACACTCAGGGTTCTAAAAAAACAGACGATAAGATAGTTAGACAACCGTAAAATAACTTAATTCAGACAATAAGAACTGTGCAAACAAAAACTTCGCTTAGCACAAAGGCACACAAAAACAAACAAAAAAATTGTATCACAAAAACTATCACAGAAACTGAATTTGACTGCAAATTTATTATAAACACAGAGGCGAAGTTGCACTTCGCAAACACAAGCAACAATAGGACCGATAACGCCACTGGGAAAAGCTGATTTAGTAAAGCGTTGAGTCTACGAAATTTCTTAAGTGACGCACGCCAATTAAGAAGCAATAGCAGTACCAGTCAATTTGATCAAAAATAAATTTAGCAACTTACATGCTTCAATTTATAGAGCAGTCAATGGAGCAGTAATAAAACGAAAAAAATAAATGTAATAAAAATACAATGAGATTGAGAATTTTAAAAAAAAATCATGCCCCCAC